ACTTTTGTTGGTATTGAGAGAAGAGTGATGCCCCTGTAGTTATCACACTTGCTGAGATCGCCTTTCTTCGATATTTTGATCAGAAGTCCTTCTTTCCATTCTGTTGGTACTTGTTCCTCATCCCAAATTTTATTGAAGAGAGTGTAAACTGCATGTACCCTGGCTTGGTGGTTATTACTCCAGGCTTTAGTGGTTATTATTTTTTTGGTCGGGGTACCTAGCCTGTCGTATGCCCTGATGGTGTTCTCGTAACTTTCGGGTTGCCTGATCTGCCAAGGGCGTTGGGACAGTGCATGATGCTATTGCTCTGTGCTAGGTTCAAAGAAAATTGTATGCTATATGCATGCAAATCCGCCTCTATATTGTTCCCATCCATAAATTATAGTCTCACCAAATATATTTAATAAAACTCACTCTGTGTGAAAATTATTACCAAGATGAATACAATCAATTATGTTAATTAAGTTAATTATTTCTTAAAATAAGTAAATAGTTTCTATGCATAAATGATAAATAACAGTTGGAAATATCAGAAATATATCTCTTAATCACAGATCAAAATAGAAGCTGATTAACTTTTCTTTTATCTTGACATATGTACATCAAATAATTAGAATTGTAACTGTGTATAAAATTGTGTTAGAAAAACAATAGGAATAATTAATTTTGTTCAACTCAGTATGACATTAGAAGTAATTAATTCAGTAGATGAAACGTTTACAATAAATTAAACTATAGTCAATGAAATACTCGCATACCTAAGTGATATTAAGAAATAGGCAATCTATTTTCTTTTTGATACTATAATGTGTGATAATTCAGTAATTTTAAGAACAGATGAACAATTGTAGTGTGTGCTACTGATGTTTGCAGATATAAGTAGTATGTATCATCAATCGAAAGTGAAATATCTGGAGACAGAAGGTTAAGAAGATCAAAGAAAAAAGAACTACAACAGTGAGTGATTAGTGTGGAAGCGAAAGAACAATGAAGCTTGAGACAATTGATTAACATTTTGCAAATGTAGTGTTTACTGTATGATTCTCAGATTTGACTAAGTGATTCTGTAATTTGTGTTCAAATATATTTGGTTATTGATGTGAACAGGGAAACAAGAAGCTCTGACAAACTGCGAAAGCTATTTTTTCGAGACGTTATTTCATTTTATGCAAAGCTTGTAAAACACTAACATTTATTTTGTCCCTAATCTATTCTACAGAACATAAGCTTTCGTTCGATGTATGATTCACTGGCATACGATTTTCAATTTCGAATCTATTGTAATTCAAACATAACATTTTGCACCCTATTTTCTACTCTAATTCCCAGCTTTAGACATAATTGTATTTTTCCTAATTATTGTACGTTGTGGTCGCCATTTATTCACGTATCTTTTTACACTAATCCGGAAATCAGAAATCAGGATATCGGGAATAGATCGAGTAGTGTTCCAGTTGTTTTGCCTTCTCTTATTCGCGTGCTTGTTAGCCAATCAGGTGATAGAATAGTATTCTTCTCTCTACCTCACTTCGAACTCACGCGTACTAGCCTCAAGGCTAAGTCGGTCAGCCTATGGCGCCAAGGTTTTAATCTGGATCAGATAAATATCCTCAGCACCAAAAGTGGGTAGACAGATCAAGGACATAACAATTATCCCCATTCATAACTCCACCTGGAGCCGCTTTAGGGCTACTGTCGGTCCCAAGCCCGAATAAAAGAGGAGGGATAGGCATGGGGTTAGCGACCCCACTCCATAAAAAACTAACTCGCTAACAAACGATAAGCAGAAAGCTTTTCCTATCCTCATTGGTGTTCTCATCCACTTCATTACGAGTTAATGAGGAAGGTTTGAATTTCTACTGAATTCATCTGAGTGAATAGGGTTTCAGTATTTAACATTTTTACATGACATATAAAGATTATACAGAATATTCATATGTTTGAAGCCAGTTTTGTACTTTATTCTAAAAACAAGAAAATTACAATTCATTTCCATATTATTTACTGGACATTCTTTTGTTGTTACATTTGACTTCACTGCATTATCAAAACATTTAATATTTCATAAAGTTCATTGGATTCCACAGATAGAATATTATTTTCCTCATTGGGTTATTTGGTGAATTCGGTGCATCAGTAATGAGAAAATTAAAAAGAAACAACCAGTACCTAAAAATGAATGATAATCATAAAATTTTCATTTAATAATTTCATGGTGTGTGTTACTGATGTTTGCAGATATAAGTAGTATGTATCATTATTCAAAAGTGATATGACTAGCAGCAGAAGATTAAGAATATCGAAAGAAAGGGAACAAGAACAAAGAATGATTGGTTTGGAATAGAAAGAACAATGAAGTCTGAGACGATTGATTGATATTTTGCAAATGAAGTATGGTTCTGTATGGTCCTCATATTTTACTAATGAATTCGGTAATTTGTGTATTCACATAAATGTGATTGTCCCCACTTGTTTTCTCGTTCTCCACAGTTTCATGTGATAGACGATAACTACGATGATTATTTAGTTATTCTATGAGACATCTATGATTCTCCTAACAATCACTTAACAGTATTACTTATTATGTTAAATGAATACATGACAGTATTTTGAATACTTTGTTGATTTGTTTTTATGTTAACAGAATATGAACAATACCTCTACGAATTGTTATTGTAACTTCTGTCATATATTTTCATTTTGCTCTAGAATATTACAATTTATGGACGAACCAATCAGATGTAAGATAACAGGTCATGGATTTTGGCGCAAAGTTGGTTTACCATTTTGATAAATAGCGTCTTGGCATTTTAGCTGATATCAGATCATGATGAAAACTCTTGATCTAGTTCTTAACCCTAGCCATCAACTGTAAATCATAATTCTAATTCCTCATACTTCTTTATAACGTCTGTTTAGTCCTAGTTTATTGGTGGACATTATGAAGGTCACTTTAACGTCGCTCAAATGTTTTCCATAAATTCTAGTCTCACCTTGAATATCTTTTTCTGGATTTATCAATCTTTGATAAGTAACATTTGCAAAGGATTGTGGTGAACGGACCCTCAAATTGGGTAGACCAGTTTATTGTTTAGTGTAAAAACACAGAATCTTCATAAAATGTGAAAACCATACATTAAATATATCATTTACACATCTTCCAAACTTGATCGTTTTTTCATTCCTGTTGATAATATTATCGCTTTCAGTTTTCTTCTCTCTTCTTTTATTTTCAATCTTCTCAATCTACTGCTCACAAGCATTCTACTACCACATACATCTGGCGAGCGAGATCGTGGATGCGCACTCCTGAGAAGTTCCATAATAAGATGAAACCGCTATCGAGTGCTTCTAGGTTTTTAATGGTAGTCTAACATCAATCGGTTCATGATCTCAATCATAAACTTAATCATCTCCACAATCCTATACTGTTACTATTCATATCTGTTAGTATAAGTAGCATATACTTCAGTATTACATCGTTTTTTGTTTAAATGAATAAATGGTGAGATTTTAATTGTACTGATCATAAATTTCTCTACTTGATGAATGATTAGCATATTCATATGTGTTAGCAGAACATAGATTGGATTAAATCATGCTCAATGCACTCTTACGTTGACGCACGCTGATTTGGATAGGAATTAGCCAATCAAGGTCAGCCAATACTTAGTGAACACTCTAGAAATCTCAGGTGAAAACTATAAACATACTAACGTTTTCCCTATTGTGCTTCTACTTCCATCTAACCTTGTTATTTAAAATATGATCTCTTTTCCTGTTCAACCGTGTTCTGATTTGGTGGACTTGTCAAGGGAATTGGTGTTCGAGAATACTAAGCAATAGGAATAGATGGGTTGTAATAAAAGAGAGAATTATAACTTATGCCATTTGATGTTATATGGGTTTATTTGGGATATTGTTTAAGAACTTATTCAAAATAGTATACTTTGTTACATAAACAGTTTAGTTTCTATTTATTATTTAATTATCAGAATAACTGAAGGGAAAATCTAACTTGAAGACTGAACAAATTCAAGTCATTGATAATGTCAATATATGAACTTTAGTTAGCAAGAGGTTATATGACAGTTATAAATGTATCTAATTTGTGTTTGTTAAACATGTACACAATAAAACTTTTGTGTTGTGTTGTTTTCTTGTTTGTTTGTTTTTTTGATTGACATATTTATACACGTGTCATAATGAAGACTAATTTAGCATGTTTTGATATTAAAACAAAAAAATAATAATGGAATATTGTTTATGACATAAATCAATTTATAGATTAACTAATAATACCTTAGCAACTAAACGTTTTTTTCTCCTTTTGTAAAATATGAGATAAACAAATTTATTTTAAGTTATCTACCAGATAATTAAAAAAATTTTTTTTTGTTTTTTTGATATAATACATCGATTTTTTTTCTTTCTGTGTTTTTTTCTGTTGCTGTTTGTATATAGGTTTTACAATATTCATTGACTATACACGGGAAAGATTAAAAAAGAAACCCTGATAGGTACATAAAGAAATTGTATTGCCTATTTTGAAAGTGATTAAACTAGTTCACAGTCAAATATATATATATATATAGTAGTTAATGAATAACTATAACAGGCTAAAAGTACTGCACACATATATATTGTATGCATGTCTAGAATATGAACTGATTTGCACATTAATATATATATATATACATGTATACGGACACATAATACTTAGTAGCACCCAATTGATAGTGTATTTGTTTCTGAACAGTTGAATGAATATCTGTGCATATCATGTAATAATCATTGAATAGAACTATAGTTGTATTTTTTTTAAAAAAAATATTATGGGAAACATATTATACATCTATCTGGAATTAAATCCTAATTTTAATGATATAAATTAAACTATTTATTACCGGGAAACTGTATTAAATACACAATCCTACTTGTTTTTTTTTTGTTAATGGTTTGATTTATTTTAAACAGAATAAAAAAACACACAACTAAATATGTCGAAACAATTGAATTATGAATCGGATTCTATGCATAAACCATCTACATTTCATTTACTACATAAAAAATGGAATGTACTACGTACAGGGGTTTTATGGGCTCAACGTTTAAAATCTGTGAAGAATACAAAATCAACCGATATGACATATACTCAATTCAATAATAGAAGTTATAATTGTAGTTTCTCCAATCCAAATTCTATTGTTGAAGATAGTAATATTAATAATAATAGTAGTAGTAATAATAGTAGTAGTAATGTTAATGTAACTACATATAATTATACACCACAACGAACTCTGTCAAGTATAACGAAATTGAATGACAAAGATTATGATTACATTGATAAATTACAGAAACGAAATACAGTGATTAAACATTGTTCATCTGCTAAACGTCTAGCAAAGTAAGTAGTAGCATTTGTTTCTTTTGTGTGTATATATATATATATATATATATTTGATTGAATTATTTCAATCGTAATTACCAGTATATTTAATAATCTCATCAATAAGTTGTTTGAAGTTATGGCAATTAAGCGATATTTTTATAACATTAAATGCAACTAGACTATTTTAACTTCACGGAGATTTAGCTGATCCATCTAATACACAGTAACCGATGCACGTTAGGACAACCAGTATATCAGCAGCCTCCGTAGCAGCAGACCCCAACATACACAATAGAAAAAGCAAGATCCTGAAATATAACACGGAGAACACTAACATAATCAAACTAGTTGATAAAACTCTGAGTGAAGCGGAAACACACATGTGCCTGTTCAGCATCATTGACGGACAAGGAGGATCGAATGCAGACGTAAAGATGAGGATTGGCAAAACCAAAGCCTCATTCTTACAACTGAAGAACATATAGAGCTCAAAACAACTGTCAACTAACATCAAAGTCAGAATCTTCAATACGAATTTCAAAACAGTTCTACTGTATGGAACTGAAACTTGGTGAACTACCACAACTATAATCAAAATGTAGAAGTATTTATAAACAATTTTCTACGTAAAATACTCAATAACCGTTGGCCGGTTACCATCAACAACACCATATTGTATGAGGGGATAAACCATAGTTTTAACAGTATAGGGGTTGTGGAGATTATTAAGTTTTTGATTGAGATCATGAACCGATTAATGTTAGACCACCATTGGACACCTGGAAGCACTGGACTGGATGTTTCGTCCTATTGTGGGACTCCTCAGCAGTGTGCATTCACAATCCCGCTAGCGGGCAGCGGTTGGGTGCCGGCTCAGTGGCCAATTGGGTTAAGCGTTCGCGCGCGACGCTGGTGACACTGGGTTCGAGTCTCGCGAGCGGGATCGTGGATGTGCACTGCTGAGGAGTCTTATACTGGAACGAGTTGATTTTCCACGGTGCTTTATCATCGTTTGGTTCATGATACCAATCATAGTTTTAAAATGAAGAATAATTCATTTTAAAATAATTCATAAAGCATTTTATTTTCAGAAGTTTACTAAACAAACTTCATGAATTGAATAAATCAATTATTGACACTTCTGAAGACTTTTCATTCAATGACATTGTTTCATATAATTATTTTAGCTAATATTGTGTTGAATATCTCAATTAGTCTATCTACTTCATTAGAGTGCCATAAACTAATCTCAAACAAACTTCTCTTTATGAAACTCTGAAGAAGTTGTTTACACTAAGATGCGAAACATCATAATTCCAAATATGTACTCATTAAACTATCATAAATATATCACTATTAGTTTACTATGAACTTTCTACATAAAGACTAAAGTTATTTTATTTTAAAAATAGTTATCAATTCAAATCTCGATTATATTGTATTATTCTTAATATAATTTTAAAATACTAAAGGCTACATGTTTAGGACATTTAAATATGTACATCATCAATCAGTGTTACTTAGCAACATATTACTATTAATTATTGAGTAGCTTATATTATATTTTGATTAGAAATAAACAAATAATAGAATAGTAATATGTAATCAGTGTAACATTTGCACAGGTGGTTACACTTGTTTTCATGATTATTGTTTATCAAATTGAGATACCCTATTTAGAAGGAAAAGAAATTGCTTTAATATATAAATATATATATATATATATATATATATATATATATATCAGCAGAATGATTTCATTATCCATGATTGTTTAGTTGGAATATGGTAATAATCACTTGAACAAAAGAACAAATGGTATATACTATTTACTTTATATACAAACAATACAAAACAATGTATATATATATATATATATATATATATATATATATAGTTGTAAATTTATACTTTACTGTTGGCCTACTTGAAAATCTGAGCTAACTGTTTTTGCCCAACAGGTCAACTGTTCCTATTTGTTTTAACACATCATTATGGCTATTGATCGTAGAACCTATTTATGTGCATTTCTGAAAAATGTGTATAAGTCTTCGTTATACAAGTTACAAAAGGCTCAATCAGAGATATCATGGTTTGCTTGGTAAGATGCAATGAAAAAAATTTACATTATTTAGATATCGATTAACTGAACTACTAACTTCTAACTGGTGATCAGTCAATACTTGTCGTCAAGATCAACTAAGAAATAAGAAACGGAAACTTGTTGAAAAAGTAAACAAGAAAAAAAGTAATTGAACATGGAATAAATCTAATGGATCCAGATAAGATAATATCAATCAACGGTTTATTATTATAAAATTCTAATAGCATAGTTACAAAATTTAAATCTTCTTTGGTGCAATAAGAGAAAAAAAATTAGTTACTAGACAACATTGTGACAGTGTTTATTTGGAAAAATGAACAAATCTATTTTGTTATTTCTGATGTGGAACATAACTCTCTATATACATTGCACAATAGTGACATTTTACATTTTGCGTCAATACTATGAAATTTACAGGTGTAATATTAAACTATTTTATGAATAAATGATGAAATGTATATTTGATGATAATATAATCTCTAAGTTGAAGTGTTTATTATTAATAATGTGAACGATATTATGAAATATGATCCACTGAAAGTGTTTATATGATTGAAAATATTGTCTTTAAATAAAGAAAAGCTAATATGCTATTACTGAATATATTTATTATGAAAAATGATTTGAAAGAGAATAGTTTAAAATTGATGGATGAATCTATAAATGACCTTTATGAAGTTATTCTACAGTAACCATTCCCTGATGTATCTTTATGTTCAACAGTTTATCAGATTAATAGTTAGTTAGATTAAATTTAACAAAAAGATTTAACTTAATAGTCAAAATAAGAAAAAAACATTTGAATTTGTGAATGTGTAAAATGTTTTGGTTACCTAGATTAAAATAGTTTAGAAGTATCAAAATTCCGCTTACCTTTATATGTCCATTCATATTTTCAAACTAGGACTTTCAGTTAAATAGGTCAAGAGTTTTGAAGTGTAACTGCTATCAAATTCTCTTTTATTACATATATTATCTTTTAAACATACTCATAAGTTAAGAAAATAATTGAACATCTAAGTGAAAAGTACTTTAGTGTGGTTTGAGATGATAATATTTGAATTTCAGTGGTTGAACTTGAAGCTAGACTATCCTGGAAAACCTGGAACCACTGGATGACCAACTCTTCCTATTGTGGGACTCCTAAGGAGTGCGCATCCACCCCCCACCCCCCGCGAGATTCAAACTCAGGACCTATAAGTGTCACGCGTGAGCGCTTAACCATTAAACCACTGAGCCGGCATCATAATTTGAACATTGAATTATTTCGTATTTAATTGTCCCAAGAAAGTTCTATGACAAATTTAATATTCATTTTAAATTATGAATAATATAGGTACTTGTTTCGTCCCAACATATTAACGTATAACTAATATACAGAGTTAGAGTAAACTGAATAAATGTAGACGTCATACGTTATTCTAGATAGTCAATAGTTTAATACGTTTTTGTGTTGGTTGTTTGGGTCTTCCTGTTAATGTTTTGGAATGTAACCAGTCAGTCTTATATTAGCATATGTACATCCTGTACGGAATATCTCGATATAAGTTTGATCAATTGCAGTCTTAAACATAAATGAGAATACTCAAACAACCAATACAAAAATGAATTTAAACCTCACCCCATTGCACAACTTTTTCCTGTCTGGACTCAGTAGCTAAGTGTAGTGAACAATACCAGGTCTGAATCTCGGAATGAACATCAAGCTGACGAGTCCCAAACAGGACGGAAAACCCGTCCTGACTTTCATTGCTAGCCACTATCCATCAATAATTTACGTTTACAATTATTAACTCACAGGAAATGAATTTTCTATCAGCATAAAGTATACTAGTTCTGAATGAGTTCCATACTATGTTCATATGACCTAGGAAAATTATATCAAATTACTATACTCGTGTAGATAAACAAATATTTACTATAATAAAATACCCATAATCTCGAAAAGCAACTGTTTCAGTTATCGAAAGTTCTTTGGATCTAAATAAATGAAATTTAAACTCACCTCAAAATTAAGGAATTAAAGGTATTATCAGTAATTAATATTACTGAAGCACATCTTCATTTATGTATTGAGTAATGATATGAATTAGTTTAGTGTAAACTCAATAAAATCAACTCATTTTGAACTATGAGTAATATTATTTTATTACTTTCAATTTATATCCCTTTTTTGAATATTTATTTGTACGTTAAAACATATTTGTATAGTCTTAACTCTTTGATGGTGTATATCTAATTGTAAGTTATTGAAAGCTTACTTTTATTGCATGGCAAATTTTCAAATTTACATTCTGTTCGTTCTTACAAGTTAACAGTATAAATGTACATCCCCCCTAATTGTCGTCAATGAAGTTGGTAACCTATACACTGATTGCTAGTGAATACATACTTTATATCTTTTGTGATAATATCAATAAACCTTAAATTAAATTCATTTTTCACTATAAATGTTTATAAAGAACCTGTCCGATTAGTTGTATTTTCAGAAATAATGTCGTTTATTTACATAAAGCAGTGAAAACCTACTGTAGTGAACGAGAACACAAATAGGGACAACCAAATGTATTTGAATTCAACAACTTACAGAATCTCTTAGTAAAATCTTGATAACTATACAGTAAATACTTCATTTGCAAAATGTTTATCAATTGTCTCAAACTGAATTATTTCTTTGTTCCTACGCCAATACATCTCTATTCCCATTCTATTTACTTCGATCTTCTTAACCTTCTGCCTTCAGACATTTCACTTCCAAATGATGATACATGCTACTTATATCTGTGGACATCAGTAGTGCACACGAGACTTGCTTTCACACGATACTACACGGGAAAATGTCGATTCTTATGATGAACAGGATAGCACACTTTTAAGTAAACAATATTCACTATTCATTTTTTTCAAACTT